TGACCTGAGCCGAAGTGGGACGCTTAACCGACTGAGCCACCCAGGTGCCCTGTTATTCTTTGGTTTCCATCGGAAACTTCTAACTTAGGAGATGAGAGAGAAGATGCACCTTAATTCACTGCTGCAGTTAGTTCTATATAACGAAAAGAAAAAAACGCCTGGTTTAACAGGCCCTTTATTTGACATGTACCGATAGCTGTTCTGACTCCTTTTATTACTTTGTTTCATTTGTCAGATAAAAAGAGGCCAACTTGTCCCCGTCTTGAGGCTACCCCACCAGACACCAGAGGGCATGGGGACATGGCTCCGCACTCCTGCAGAGCCACAGGTGGCCACATGGGGCGCCATCCTGACTCTGGCCACGAACGCAGCTTAGTCTCCTGACAGGCACTGCATCCGTCGAAAAAGCTGTGTGGGGGGGACCCAGATTTGAGGGCACTCCTGGGGTGCACAGCTCAGAATGCACGTGCGCCTGGAAGCTTCCGGGGCCACCAGTTCATGCCGTGGACGGTGCGGAGCAGGTGGAGCTCAGGAAAAACGAGACTCGCGTGCCCTCGGAAAAGCCCCGTCACAGGAGCAGGTGGCCACACGGGGTGCCGTGGACAAACAAGCCAGGCCTCCAGGCTCCAGCATAGGACAGGACCCAGCAGATGCCTGGGAGCAGGAGCTGCCCCGCAGGACAGGCGGTGGAGGTTTACCTAAAGCTGCTTAAAGGGTCTGAGACAGGACGTGAGAACCAGCACACAGGTACAAGGGGTGCACGGAGGGGCCAACAGGAAAGGGGTTCGGAACCAAAGGCCAAGGTAGCAGGTGTCTGAGCCGCCTGCTGCTGGGCACCCCTTCTCGGCTGTGCTGGGACGCCCCGTCAGCCCCCTTCTGGGCTGTGCTGGGACTCGCCCGTCACCCCCCTTCTCGGCTGTGCTGGGACGCCCCGCTGTCTGTCACCCCCACTGTCACCCACCCAGTGCTCTGTCTACTCCCTTCTGGTGGGAGCCTGAGCTCAGCCAGGGCTTGAGATGCACGCCCAGGCCCGCAGAGGCCCCCCCGGCTCAAGGCCCGGGCAAGCGTGCGACACACACGAGCGAGTGAGTGAGTCCTGCGCTTTCAGGACCCACGAACAGAACGGGCTCGGAGCAGAACCGGTCAATGCACGGCGGCACCATGGTCCCGGAAGCCGGCAGGCTCGGCGGGTAACGGAGGGTGGCCAGCGGAGGGAGGGCCTTCCAGCCAGTGAGGTGGAGCCCCCGTCCTGACGCTGTCGCCCCCCCCCCCCCCCCCCCCCCGCCTCTAGGAATGTCTCACGCGGTCCAGGAGCCCCCCCGCCTCTCGGCCCACCGCCCACCTTTCTCAGGACAGCCTGGGGGTGGGGGTGGGGGAGGGGGCAGGCACAGCCTCGCCCGGAGGCCAAGAGGCCGTTTTCCACCCGCGGCTCCTTCAGAATCAGTAAGGACCGCTTCGAGGGGACGCGAACGGAGGGAGGGGCCGCAAGTGCACCGGCTGGTTCCGAAGCCCCCGGCTTCCGTCCAGCCGGTGAGAAGCGCCGCCAGGGGGCGCCCGCTCACCTGTCCTGCAGTTGTGGAACTCGAGGGCGCTCTCGATGCGGAACGTCTTCTCGCAGGTGCCGCAGCGGTACCTGTACTCACTGTCCACCTGGCGACAGGGGAGCGCTGTTGAGGGGCAGGGGCAGGGGGCAGCTCCACCTAAGGACGCGCCCCCGACCTGCCTCTCGCCACGTCCCGGTGGGTAAGGTCTCCGTCCCCGCCCTGGTCTACTTTGCCGTCCTGTCTCTGTCGTAAGCCTGCTCTACTCACCGTCCTGGTCTACGTCACCGCCCTGGTGTACGTCACCCTCCTGGTCCCCGTTCCTGTCCTGGTCTGTGTCATTGCCCACTACTCTCCTACAAGATTTAGGAACACGAGCAAGCTCTTATTCTCACCGTCCAATTGCCCTGGAAGAATCCCCGCTCGGGTACCGCAGGGCGAACGCCAGCCCAGGGGCCCCCTCCACCCCGCTGCCCCTCCTCCCCCTCCCCGGGGACCCCGTCTCCCTTCCCAGCAGCCCGTCCTGCCGATCGCCTGCTGCGCCTCCACAACCAGCACGAGAGCCCAGACCCCACGCACCTCGTTCCTGCTGTGCTTGTAGGAGACGTGCTGCTTCAGACTCTCCTTGCGGCTGAACAACTTGGCACATTCCTCACATTTAAACAGCTTGTCACCTAGGAGCCAACCGACGAAACGCTACTTCACGACTCCGGGCATTACCGGGGCTGCGCCCGCCCGCCCCTCCCCCCCCCCCAACCGGGTCCACGGCCACCTCTCCCCCGGCCTGGGCAGCCCGGTCCCCGCCCCGAGGCGGGCGTCCCGCGGGGACTCACCGTGCGAGCGCACGTGCCTGCTCAGGTTGCTGCTGTTCTGGAAGATCTTGCTGCAGACGCTGCACTGGTACACCCGCCTGTGCTCCCCCAGCTGCCTGACGAGCTTCCTGCGGATGCCGTGCCGGCTCGACAGAATGAGACTCCTCTTGAGGGTGATGGCGGTGCTCGGATGATGCGGGAACCTGCCAGGTCAGACAGACACCTGGTGAGACAGGGGGCACACTGCGTCGTTGGGGAGGAAGCGCGAGGTCACCGCCATCTCGGGAAGGGCTCTTCCAAACCTTCCTAGCTCGCCGCGAGGAAGGAGGGAAGGCACTCGGGCACCACCCCGGCGTCAGGGGAATCTGCACGGGAGACACAGCTTGATCGTCCAGCATGGCCACGCTCCTGACTGCATTTTCACTCTGGCCACCAGGAAGCTCTCAGATGATGCCCCGGGAAGATCCCCGTTTCTCTCGCCTGGCCTGGCCTCTGCTCTGTTTTGTACTTTCCCTGACCCTGTTTTTTAAAAATTTCTTCTCCCTTTTAAACGTCTTTCTGACGGCAAGCCACAGAAGTCCTCTGGGCAGTCAGACAGGGTAGGTTAACGAACAGGTGACCCCGTTTCCGACAGCACGCCGGCCCCGGTCTGCACGGGCTCCGGGATCAAACGGGGCCAGGCACATCATGAGAACGTTAAGAGGCACTCCAAAAAAGCCCGAAAAGAAATCAGCATCAGCTTATTCCATGTCAAAGGAAAGATTTATCCAGGAATGACAACTAGAATACAAAACATTTTCAAAGGAAAGGAGAGGAGAGGAGAGGAGAGGAGAGGAGAGGAGAGGAGAGGAGAGGAGAGGAGAGGAAAGGAAAAACAAGGTGTTACATGTACAGAAACTTCTGTGACAGCAGCACCGTTCCCAACAGCCGAACGGTGGGAGGAGCCCAGGTGCCCACTGATAGAGGAATCTATCTATGGGATGGGATGCCAGCCTCGAGATGGAAGGACAATCTGACACCTGCTGGATGAGCCTCAGGCACGGCATGCGGAGCGCCACGGGCCCGTCACAAAAGGGCCGGCATCGCATGCCAGCGCCCAGGCCGGGACCTCACACAAGGTACGTCCGTCTTCACGGAGACAGGGACGGGAGGGGGTGCCGGGGTGGGGGGAGAGGGACATGGGGAGTTAGTGTTCCATGAGGACAGAGTTTCAGTCCGGGAGGATGGAAAGTTCCAGAGACGGACGCGGCTGGAGGCTGCACCGAGCGCAGGTGCACTTAATGGCACCGAACTGTGCACCCAGGAGAGGTTCAGATGGTCAACCGTCTGTGACGTACAGCTCACCACACACACACACAACCGCTTTTAACTGTCTTCACAGCGGACGTGGCATCACGCTCCCGAGTTCTGGAAGGATCCTGCCGCTCCCCAAGGACACCCTCTTCTTTCCCCCAGGAGGGGCGCCTCCCCGCCCGGGGGCACCTGCCGTCCACACGGCCGCCCCGGGAACTTCAGCAGGACTCACTTTGGCACTGAAGCGGCGTCACCGGTGGTGGTGGCCAGCTTCCCCAGAACCAGCTCCATGATCCTCTCGTCCGGTGCCGCCGTCGCTGGCTCATCCGGAGGGACCTCGGTGACGATCTCCGCCACTTGCTCTGTGTGAAGGGGGCGCGACAGCCGTGTCATCGCCGGGGCAGGGGACGGGACCCGGCCAAACCAGGAAAACGCACCCGAGCGGACCGCAGCCAGGCCCACGTCGTAGACACGCGTTGCGAGACGCACGCGGGAGGAAGAAAGGAAAGAAGACTAGCAACGTGGCGGGATCCACGTAGCTACCGGTTTCGAAAGAGCAAAACGTTACTCTCAGCTCGAAACTGAAGTTATAATTTGTGATCTTTTCTAAAAGCAGAGCAGTTAGGCTGCGATCTCAGTCCCCAAACAAAACATCGTGATACGTAACGGGATCTTTCAACTTACTTAGTGCTAACGGAGATTCGGAAACATTGACTTTTAAAACCAGACCGGCCACCCTGAGTATGTTCAAAAGCGGATCATCGTGTTCTACGAGGGCCAAAGGCCAAATGATTACGGTAACAGGTGTCCTGGCCCGAACCTCCGGACAATGAGCGACGGGAAGGTAACACAGTGGCTTCTGCCAGTTTACCTGCTACACGTCTTCCTAATGCAACTAATAATGAGGGAAAGGACCACTTAGAGCTCTCAGCTCCCCTCTCGTCTTCTCCACCTATTTAGGGAGAGACAGAGACACTGCGCAGGGGAAGTCGAAGCCGCCTGCCCATCTCTCGGTTCCGAAGAGAACACGGGCCGACAGCTGGCTACAGGAGACGGTGAGCCCGTACTGGGTGAAGTCTGCTCTCTGAATCCCTTTTCATTCTGGCTCTCAGGAAAGAAAACCAGGGCTCGACCAGACAGCAAAAGAAAGCTCTCAGCGGTCAGCACGAAGGCAGCGAGGGGACCCAGCCCCAGCGTCACAGCCCGTCCTTACGTGTGAGACCCCCAAGGGGTCTGCTGGCACCAGGCCATGCTGGCAGAGGTCATGAGAGGACCGAGGGGGCACAGGCCCTGCGCACCCCAGAGAGTGGGTCAGAGTCCCTCCAAACTCAACCGGGGATACCATCACAGAGACCGGGAGCAGGCCTCAGGCCCAGGCGACACGGGGGTGGACGGCCGGGCTTTCACACAGTGAACCCACGCCAGAAACCCTAGTGGGTGGGTCTCACTCCACACGCCGCATGTAAGACGCTGGGCACAGAAAGAGGGATTCACGTGAAATCCAGGACGGACAAGGCTAAGTCACGCAGACAAGGAAGAAAGTCTGGGAGATGGTAAGGTTCTCTGTCCTGACGGGGCACTCGTGACACAGGCGGGCCCCTTGTCAACATTCACAACCTGCACACTTTGCAGTGGTAACCGTGTTTATACGGGAATTGTGCTCTAACAGAACTGATTTAGAGGGAAAGGGAAAGGCCAGGTTCCCCTCTGTGTGACCTGTCCATCCTAAGTTTTCCCGCCTGCCGGCTCCCCCTCCCGGGGCCACCCCCGCCTGCCGGCTCCCCCTCCCGGGGCCCAGCCCTCACCTGCTGGCTCCTTGCCTTCTATAATGTCTAGTGGTTGCTCAGGTTTTGATGCTTTGGGTTTTCTCCCTCTTCGAGGCTTTTTCTTCTGCTCTTTGGTGGCACTGACACTCTTGGGCACTGCAGGAGGCTCCCCCCGGGGCACGTCTGCTTCCTTCTCGGGAGCGGCTTCGTGCTGGCCGGCCGGGGGAAGGCTTTTGGCTTGTTCCAGGTGACCCAGCAGATGCTCTGCGGGAGAGGGGAGCACATGCACGCGGACGCTGAGGCAGCCGGCGGTGTGCCCACTTCCTCCCCGCTACCCCCCGTTCTGTCTGTCTGGTTTTAACTTCGTTTGCTGACCGTGTGTCCTCTTATAGGCAAATTAACTATTTCCACTGCTCTCGCAAAAAAAAAGCATTTTCACTGCGCCAAACATGACTACTACTTAAAAAGCAAATTAGGTGGTAAAAAGAGGGCCAGTTCAGCACGCGCCCACGCACACGGCTTTATGAAACACACAGGCATGCGAGCACACGCCCGTGCAAGCAAGTGCTGTGCAAGGGTGCACCGACATGGTAACGTGGCTGCCTCTGGACGGTGACATTCCAGGCAGGGCTGTTCCCTTTCCTCCTTACGCTCACTTACGTTCTTTAACTTATGTGGTGAATTCGTGATACAGTTACTCAAAAACGCGGCCTCTGAAGGGAACTAATTCCGCGCGTGACAAACTAAATGATCTTTAAAAATCCTTTTGCTCTCCTCTCAACTGAGGAAAGCCCCCCGAGACCTCCCAAGAAGAGAGAACGACGAAACCACAGGGAACAGGCAGGCAGGGGTGGCTACGGAGCCTAACCACGGAGGTAAGCACGGCTCAGGCCGGCCGGACGGCGGGGCAGCAGCAGGGAGGGGGAGGGGCGGCCCACCAGGCACAAGGGGGCGGACGGCCCAGGGGCCGAGGGTGCCTGGGCCCACGGCTGGGCCAGGGGCGATTCCCCCCGCTGTGATCTCAACGGGCTCAGCACAGGCCTTCGGCGCAAAGCGGTCGTCACTTCCCTGTGCCGTCTTTAGGGCCACCTGTGCCGGGGGAGTGCCCCCAAGGAGCTGGGTCGTGGGAGGGAAAGAAAATTAAAAAGCAAACACGGCAAGTAACGTGACGCGTGCTACAGGAAGGGCCTGGCACCTGGGCCACACGGCGGAACTAGGCGGCCATGAGCCCACCTGGCTGGGGACACTTGGAAAGCCTGGATGACACAGAGACCCCAAGTGACCCCAGGCGCGCAGCGGGGAGGTCGAGGCTACGTGTCACAGCAGGTGCGGAGGAGGCCCCGCGAGGAGGGCCTGGGGGGCTGACGCGTGTGGCTCTGGGCACGCGGCTGGGGTCCACGCGGCCGCTCACATCCGGCCGGCCGCGCGTCGCCACGTGTGCACAGGGACGGCGTGGACGTGCCAGCACAGTGGTCGCCCCACCCCGGGGCGCGCGCGCCGGGCTTACCGTTCAGGAGCTGCAGCTCCAGGAAGGTGGAAGAACACACCTTGCACGCCCACTGGCTGGGCTCCCGCTCCACCGTGGCGCCGCCTCCGGGGCTGCCTGCAGCTTCGAGAGAGCAGGGGCAAGGGTGACCCACAGCAGCTCGCGCCCCCAGGGCCCAGGGCCGCAGGGGACGGGCCTGTCCACACACCCCCCTCCACCACGGCTCGGCGCGTTCGGCGTTCCAGCTGCCATTCCCGGAGCCCTGCGTGCGTGGACGCCTTCGGTCCCCACAGGGGTGCCCATTTCACGGGGGAGGAAACCGAGCACAGAGAGGGGGGGCCGGAGCGGCCCGACGAGGGATCCGTCACGGGTCACAGACGCGGGACCTCCTCCGAGAAGCCAGACCGGTGGGACCACACGCATCCCTTACAAGACCGAGGGAAAAAAAAAAAAAACAAAAAAAAACGCACCCTGCAGATTAAACGGAACTCCTCAACCTCTTTCTGGCTCCCACGAGAGACAGCAGAGCCCGAAACAGGCCGTCACTGTGGCCCCGGCCCGCACCTCCCGCTGGAGGTCGGCCAACACAACTTTCTGTGATGACACCAGGGCTCTAAAATCACGGCGTGTCTGGGGTGCCGGCCACGTGTGGCTACTGCCCCCGAGGATTCGAGTGTTTAGTTTTGTTTACTTTGCACTAGAATTTCAACGGCTACTACCCAGGGCAGGTGGCCACCGAGCAGCCCCCGTGGTCCCTCTTCCTCACACGCCAAAGAAATCTGGGGACGGTTCACGGCACAGGGGAGGCCCTGTCTGTGAAGAGGGGAACTGGGCCTCCTTTTAAAAACATTACTGACGCTCCCGTGGGACCTCAAAGAAGGGGATGCTCTAAGCGAGCCTCCGTTCGTGGTGCCATCGGGCAGCCGCCAGGGCTGGTCTGGGGCCACGAGCCCTCGCCACCAGCGCCACTCGGCCACTGCACCGCACGACCTGTCGCGTCACCCCAAGGGCCACGCGTGCAGCAAACTCCTGGGTTCTTGGAAAAAATCACCCAGAGCTGCCATTGCACGTGCATTCGGCCCCAGGACAACGCACGCCTCTGTCCGTAGCAAAAACGTGCAACAAGCTTCCAAGGAAGAACGAAAGCGAAAGACCGCAGCAGGCCACTGCTACAACCGCTAGTGTGTATTCTGCGTGTCCTCCTAAAGTAACAAGGAGGGAAAATGTTACGCTGAAACGGCCCGAGCTCCCCAGGGCGGATGCTGGGGCAGCAGGGTGGCGATGGGCCAGCCAGCCCCCTCTGCTCTCCCTCCTGCCTGTGAGGCCCCCGAGTGAAGACGGGCAGGACGAGATCGCGAACGAACGGGCGCCATAGCTGAATTCCCGCTCCTTGCTCACCCTCCCAAACACACGTGGCTCTGCGGAGGCAAAGGACACGCGGGTACGTGGTGGCTTCAGGAAGGGACGCCGAGGGGTCAGCTGGAAGGGCACCCGGGGTCGAGGCCCTTTCTTCTGGTCCCAGTGAGCCGCCGTCCCCAGTGGGACGGTCCCCGCCCCCGTGATGGGGATTCAAATGAACCTGACACGAGAACACGCCTGGCTGATAATCAACAGGACTGACTAGGAGAACGAGTCACGGCCGCCGTCCCCTCGTCTGGGGAAGAACTCGATTTCCAAAAAACTCGCCCTAAAAGATCACAATTTTTAAGAACAAAACTCAGCCAACAATCAGAAGGCAGCTCTTGATTGCCCGTCACTTAAATATCCAACAAAAAAAGAAGCATCGAGGCAACAGTGACACCTCACGGCCACAAATACCACAAATATGCCACAGACGAGCGATAGAGAAAACGCTTGAGCGGGGCTGGGCGGGGGGCGCCTGGGGCCTCGGTCCGTTAGGTGTCCCACTCTCGATCTCGGCTCAGGTCATGCTCTCTCGGTTCACGGGTTCAAGCCCTGCCGTCCAGCTCTGTGCTGAGCGTAGAGCTTGCATGGGATTCTCTCCCTCTTTCTTTCTCTGTCTCTCTCTCGGTCCCTCCCCTGTACTCTCTCTCTCTTTCTGTCTCTCTCTCTCGGTCCCTCTCCTGCACTCTCTCTCTCTCAAAATAAATAAACATTTTTAAAAAAAGACAAGGGGCGTCTGGATGGCTCAGTCAGTTAGGCGTCTGACTTTGGCTCAGGTCATGATCTTGTGGTTCGTGAGTTCGAGCCCGTGACAGGCTCACTGCTGTCAGCGCAGAGCCTGCTTCGGATCCTCTCTCTCCCTCTTTCTGCCCCTCTCCCGCTCTCTCTCTCTCTCTCTCTCAAAATAAATAAACATTAAAAAGAGAAGACAGGGGGCTCCTGGGTGGCTCAGTTTGTTGAGCGTCCAGCTTCAGCTCAGGTCCTGATCTCACTCGCGGTTCATGAGTTCAATGCCCGCGTTGGGGACTCACTGCCACAAGCCTGTGGGCGCGGAGCCCGCTTTGGATCCTCCGCCCCCCCTCTCTGCCCCTCCCCTACTTGTGTCCTCCCCAAAATGAACAAACATTTAAAAAAAGAAGAAGAAGGCGGCCTGGTGAGTTACAAGCCCACAGGGAAACAAAAGCAAGCGACAGAACGCCACGCACAGTAGGACCTCGCCTGTGTGAGAACGCAGGGCCTTTCTGAGGAGCAGAAGACACGGACAGGGGCAGGGGCAGGGTCATCCTGCTGGTGGCCAGGGCCCCAGCGCAGAGCCGCAGGGGTGATAAGGATGCTCTCTATCTCAACGGTGGCACGGCTCACACAACTGCACGCCTCTGTCGAAACTCTGAGCTGCGCACCGAAAACTGCTGTTTGAATGTAGGTAAACCATATGTGAGCCGTGCTGATTTTTCTCACGTACCATAAGATGCCAGCAAAAATGCCAGGGTCATTAAAATGGTGACTTGAAAGTTCCCCAAATGTGATTAAGTGTGTTTATACTCGACCTTGTTCATTACAAGAGCAGTTTTGAAAAATCTGCTGACAACATCCGGTGACGAGAGTCGACGTGAGCCCCCCGCGCCCACCCATTTACACCCACATGCTTCCCGGGCCTCCGTCAACGGTCCCCAGGCCCAGTTGGTGCACAGAAAAGAAATCAACCGTACTGCGAGCTCAAGAAAAAATGAGAAAAGGGGCCGCCTGAGTGGCTCAGTCAGTGAAGCGTCCGACTTCGGCTCATGTCATGATCTCACGGTTCGTGAGTTCGAGCCCCGTGTCGGGCTCTGTGCTGACAGCTCAGAGCCTGGAGCCTGCTTCGGATTCTGTGTCTCCCTCTCTCTCTGCCCCTCCCCTGCTCATGCGCTGTCTCTCTCCGTCTCAAGAATAAATAAACATTAAAAAAAAAGAAAAGAAAAGAAAAAATGAGAAAAGAAAATGTACTACCAGGAAGAAAAAATAGTAAAAGTTGGTTTGTTTGTTTTTTAAAAAGAGTGTGTCTGCTCCTCCGACTTTGCTGTGTTTGGACCACGGCTATGCCGTCTACAAAATTGGCTGATTTCTACAACAGATACATTTTGAAGCAAATCTGAAAGACATAGAATGGAACCGGTGAGTCTTAGCAGTTCTGATGCTCACGGAGAAAGATTCTGAATAACTCTGGGCAGACAGCTCCTCGTGCCCTGGCCCCCAGCACGATTCTTCTAGAAGACACCATGGTCCCTCAGGCCCATTCACCTTGCGTGGCCCCACTGCCACTGGCCCCAAGGTACAGTGATGGCCACAAAAGGCCCCTTCCCTCCCCTGCACTGCAGTGGTCTCAAGGGTGTGCAGACCAGAAGCCTCTGTGGTGGGAGGAGAGGTTAAGCCCTCTCCCTACCTGTCGGACCTGGCCAATCAGAATCACGCAGAGGCCCAGCTTCCTGTACGTTCCAGGCCTCTCTCCACAGATCTCGGCACCCACACTAGAGTCTAAGAATCGGGCAGTGGTGGGGTCCCAACATACGGCTTCAACCAGGTGAGGCGTCCAGAACTCACACCTGAGACCACCCGGGGCCCCAGGCACTCAAGGCGGGCAGCACCGGAGCAGGGTTCTAGAGGCTCCGTTGTGCCAGGAGGGGTTCCTGGGGAAGAGGCTGGTGGGAGGCCTGAGTGGTGGCCCTGTCACCGACCGACCACAGGCACCACGCACAACAGCAGACGTTACACGTCCTCTGGGGAGCTCCCAGCACTGCCTGAGCGAAGTCGTCGTCCAACAGGTGTAAGAAATAAGGACCCCAACTGACCAACCCCTTAACAGCGTTCAAGAACTTTCAGGACATTTCTAGGAAATACCTGCTTGTCATTCCTCCCAAAACGAAGACTGAAAAACCATCAAAGGCATTTCTGGAATTTCCGAGTGCCTGAGTTGGTTATCTGCTTGCCCGAATCAAATACTCCTTTAGGGGGACCGTGCCCGCCAGCTGATGCTGACATGATCACAGTCGTGTCCCGGGCTCTCAGAAGGAACGCACAGAGGACGACCACAGTCAACTCAGGATTCCCCAGGGAGGGCGGCTGGGACAAAACGAGGAGGGAGCTGTCTGGTTGGGCTCATTTCATTCAACTGCACCTTCTCAATGTCAGCTCCAGATGAGAGACTTCTCCCGCGGGGAAAAGCAAACGGTACTGCAACTCCGGCAGGAGGGCAGCCACCTTGCTCTGACTTTGACCTGGAGACTCGTGAGGGGTGAGACATCAGGCAGGATAGGACTGACAAGGTCAGCCTCTGGTACAACAAACCCCAATGTGCGGGCTTGGCTGGCCCAGGGGCACAGGGCCGTAAGGAAACCTGAACACGAGAAAACCAGACCGGGAACCCGGTGGAGGGGTTCCTGGGGAAGAGGCTGGTGGGAGGGCACCATTTTGTCAGAATCCTGTGCTGTGGGGGGTCAGAAGCAAAGAGGCTTGTTTCTCCCCCCCCCCCCCCAGCAAGTAACCGTGGCAACAACAGGTGCGTCCGCCCTTGGAGGCTCAGGTGAGGCTATGACCCCCTGAGCTCACAGGCCAAACGTGCCGCACTGGCGGCGGTCTCGCGTGGTCTCAGGCTGCACCGCGAGGACTCGCTACTGGGCGGGACGGACGGACGTTCCACGGGCGCCCTTCACGAAGTGGCACCCCGTACCCTGGGTCAGCAGGGTACACACTTTGGGAATGCCGGATTTGGGCAAATCACACACACGACCTTCGCCAGGTCCTTCCTGGAACACGCGGGCGCGCACTCACACACGGGCACACACCCCAAGGAGGAGGCTGCCGCGAGGAGGCCGGCACCGGCCCCGGAGCCAGATCCGGGTCTGAATCCTGACTCCACCTCCCACAGTGCGGCTCAAGGCAGGTTCCCTAACCTCTCTGTGCTCCGTTCCGCTGCCCCAAACAGAGACAGTCACCCCAGCTAGCAGGACGGCGGGGATGATCTCCACCCCTCGTGCCCTAGCGCCCAGATCTCCCAGGGAGAACGTTCCACCCGCCGGTGTGTGGCTGGAGGGGCGGGCCCAGACATCTGACAAGCAGAACAGGAGCCCCAACCACGTGAGGTCAAGAGCAGCCCCCTCTGTTCCCCACACCCTGCCCGCACGGCTCCCCCTCGACCACAAGGCGCCTGTGGGCGGCCAGGGGCCCGGGTCCCGACAGCGAGGCCTGGCGGGAGGCGGATGCGGGGCGGGGGGGGGGGGGGCATGTACCGTGGGCGCCGGAGCAGGCCTGCTTCAGCATGGGCTTGTCCATCTTCTTGGCATAAAAGGCCGCGTACCACACGCGCAGCTCCGCGCCGGGGGGGATGTCCCTGGAGGTGGTGAAGTAGACGTCGTCGCCGTGCTGGTAGGCGGTCAGGTTCTGGTGCTCGGGCCCCGCCGCCGGCCGCACCAGCATCATCCAGTTACAGTCGTCCTCGCTGGACGTGTCGAAGCACACGGGGTGCCCGTCCTTCTGGAACACCTGAGGGTGGGCACAGCCGCCAAGGGGCCGGGAAAGGAACTGGTTATCCGCCCGTCTGCATGTCAGCGTGTGCGGGTGCATGTGTGTGCGTGTGTGTGTGTGTGTGTGTGTGTGCATGTGCGTGTGGGGTGGCGGGAGTGTGCTGGGCAGCCAATCCCGACAGTGCTGCACCGGAGGCCAGATCGGGCTCCGCACAGAACCTGCTTCTGGGAGTCACCGGGGACCTGAGAACCACGCACGGCCAGATGGGAACTGGGACACGCCGGGCCTACTCAAGGTCCAGGAGCAGCGGCTGGACACCCAAGTTCCAATCGGTTTCCAAGGGGCCATAACGACATAGGAGTCGTATTCCCGGTCCAGGTGGCATCGGGATGATGGAGCTCTCGTCCTCGACCGAATATCCTCAGGGCACCTGAGATCTACTCCTGGCCCAGACATCACGGGGACACCTGAGCACTCCACCTGCTCTGGGTGACACGTAGGCTCTACACCTGGTCCCGGGGTCATCCAGACACCGGAAATCTGCGTGTGGCCCAGTTGGAAAGGGGAATGCGTACGTCCTGGGTGGGCACCAGGACACCTGAGTTCCTCCCCGGCTCTGTTACAAGCGTGTCCGGTAACGTCAGTCAGTCCTATGAGCTGCACCCGCACCTGTAACAGCACAGATACTGGTGGATGGGAACAGGGGGAGAGACTCAAACATTCCGAGGCTCCAAGTAACCACACGAGGAGAAAAGGGTCTTGCTCGCATCTTTTCTGACGCAACCACTGCCTCCTTGCTGTAGGAACCTCTCTCTCCCTCTCCTGGGCTTTTCCTGTGGGCGCTCCCCACTCCTAACGGGGTGAAGGCCCCCTCCGAGGACGGAGCCCTCAGAAGCAGAGGGGGCCACCAGGTGCCTGGAACCCCTGGCTGGTGTGGGGTACACTCTCGGGGAGCCTCCACCCGCCCCACACCCCCGGCCGCACCCGTGCTCGATGCTGATGCGGCAGTGGAAACAACTAGATGTCAGACAGACCTCGACAACCCAGTCACTGAAAGAAGCCAAAGCAAGCACAGAGGACTTTTCCAAAGGGGACTCAGCCCGACCACACGCCCACAGCGACTGTGTGCGTCCACGAGCCCCGGGTCCGGAGAAGGACACAGTCAGTGCTCTCCGGGGCCTGTCCTCAGGTTTCTCACGTAACCACCTTGCTTTCTTTCCTTTTGTTTGCAAACAAATCAAACAGCTTTCCGTGCTCTCCATTCTGGTGCAATCTGCCCAGTCAGCTCAACTTTTCCCAGAACTGCCTAGAACCTGAGGCCATCTGTCTCCTGTGTGTCCCGAGACCCACGTCCCAGTGACGGGCCTCCAGCAGGAGTCTGCCGCTGCCGGCAATCGCGAAGGACCGGCACCCTGGTCCTCACTGTTGGTGCCACAGACGCTTCTGGAGGCACATGCTAGGGGCGGGGACAGAGCAAGGGTCCCGTGGCCTCGTGACCTTCCACCTGTCTTCCTTCAAGAGGTCGAAGTCCTCCCTGCGACTTGCAGCCAGTCTGTTTTTCCCCAATGTCACATAAAAGCTGCCTTTTCTCAGTCTGATGGGCTTTTTAGAGCTGCCAAACTGTGCTCCAGTGTCTTAGCGCTGCCTGAACAGAACCCCCTCCCTTCGAAAGCGCTGTGCAAAGGGCCACTCGAGGTGTGCAGGTGTGGAAGTGCCTGGGCTGCCCAGGCCCTGCCAGGGACCTCCCGACGGCCGCGAGGCAGCCCAGGGCGTGAGGGAAGGAAGGGCAGTGTTTGGGCTCTACTCTCGCACACATTTCAAATGACGCTCTCTTCGACGTTTGGCAAGGTTGGAAATTACAAAAGGCTAGCTTAACTCTGATGCTTTTAGGATGTAAAAACAAACTAAAATAGGGGCGCCTGGGTGGCTCAGTTGGTTAAGCGTCCGCCTTCAGCTCAGGTGACGGTCTATCTCACGGCTCATGGGTTTGAGCCCCGCGTTGGGCTCTGTGCTGACGGTGGCGTGGAGCCTGCTGGGCCTTCTCCCTCCCTCTCTCCCCGCCCCTTCTCCCCTTCAAAAACAAACCTTTGAAAATGAAACAAACTAACGTGAAAAGAGAAAACGGTGTCTTGGAAGTGAGCGGGACAACGATCTTTAAAGCTGTCTGAAGACACTTCTCGATCCCTGAACTCGCGGACCCCCCGACGCGGCCGGCAGGTGCTGCCCGCTCCCAGCCCCCGCCAGCCCCGGCCTTACCTTCAGCGGAAAAGCCGATTCCTTCTCCCACTTGGCAACTCTCCTCGACTCAAACGGACCAAACTGCGTTCGCTTGACGAGCTGAGTCACGGCAAACACTCCCTCAGCCCCGTCCTCTAGTCGCCGGATCTCCAGGTTGGAGGGAAGGGATGATCTGGAAATGGAACGGGAGGCCCTCAGTCCCGGAGCGCTGCCGGCTGAGGACAGCCACTCGCACCGGGGACAGGCGGTCAAGAGGGCCCAAAGCTTGCTCTCGCTGGAATACCGTCCTCGAGGCTGATAAAAAGCCTACCATGGACAGAGGCGGGGAAGGCCGCCCGACTCTTTAAAAGCCTAAGCCATTGGAGAGCAACCCCAGAGCCCCGGCAAGACCCACCCAGAGCACACACGGGGCGGGGGTAGGGGGGCGCGTTCACTAAGGGAGGTGTTTGAAATCCCCACCTGAGAGACAAGCCACTACGACCACGACACCAGCTGGGCTGTGATGGGCCAACGGAGACGAAGGGCACCAGCCCTCCCTGCCCCCACCCCCCACAGCCCGGCGGCAGGGCGGGGGAGCTCCATGCTGAGACACCACGAGGAAAGGAAACTGAGAGTGTCAAGTGCCTAAACTGAGAGTGTCAAGAATGAGGTGCGGGAAGAGGAAGGCCTGTGGGCTGGGACCCCGGCACAGGCCAAGGCCTGGGTAAGCCCGACTCACATCCAGGAGCGGGTCAGACGCCAGGGCGCTTGGAGAGCGGCCCCCTCGCGGGACCACACAGAAGGCCGGGCTGCAGGGCAGGAGGCGCCCCCAGAGGGCACCCACCGTGGGACCGGTAGTTGCTGCCAGACTTTCACGGGCAACAGGCCACCGGTGCAAGTTTTCGGGGCGAGCCGGCAGGGTCCCCACTTCAGGCAAAACTAGTCCTCGGTTTTGAGAAGCTAAGTCACAGTGAGAAAAAGTAACTAAAGATGCCAGGAAAACCAGTTGGGAAGCTTGTAGAAACAGCAGCGAGATAATAATGGCACCTCCGTGTGCCAGGCACTGTACCTACAATCCCGACCACACGTCTGCAGCGGGTACTGTTACTCAGTCCACTCTGCAGATGAGGCCACCGAGGTACGGAAAAGAGAAGGCCTTGTCCCAGTTCAACCAGCGGCAGACCCGGGCTGTGAACGGGCGGTCCCTCAGAGCCCTTGCTCCGGCCCCCCCCCCCCCCCCCGGGCGACACGGCCCCCACGCGGAAACGTGGAACAGAAGAGCCACTGGGCCTCCTCCCTCCACCTGCCAGCGTTCTTCCGGAAGCGCTGATGGCTTCGCCTCGTTACCTGCCCTCACCGCCCGGGCCCCACCGCAGCCCACCCTGCCCGCGGCGGGCATCGGCAGACGGCAGACGAGATTCGGGCCGCGGGGAACCTGCAGCCTCGGCCCGTGGGCTCTTCCTCGGCCACCACGCTGTGTCTCGGCCAGCTTGGCCCCTGGGAGCACGGAACTAGAACAAGACATTCACTCGGAAGCCTTCGAAACACGCCTGGGTGGGTGAACAGGTGGAGGGGCGCGGTGAGTGGTGGTGCCGGGGCTGGGGGGGGGCGGGGAAGCTCCAGGCCCTCTCCGGGGGCCTCACCCTGCACATCTCTTCATCTGGCCGTTCACTCACCCCACTTATCACATCCTTTAATAACCCCGAAACGGTAAGGGTTTCCCAGAGTTCTGTGCGCCACGCTAACGATGTAGAAGCCTCCGAGGAGGAGGCCGCTGGAGCCTCCAGTCTGCAGCGTGGTTGTCACAAGGACAGAGGACAGCCTGGGGCTCGCGGCTGGTGTCTGGAGGGGGGGGGGGCGGGGCGGCCCTGTGGGGCTGAGCCCTGAGCCTGTGGGGCCCCCTGCTGTCTCCTCCCAGCAGGTGTCAGAGCTGAACCCCCGCTGGTGCCCGAGAACTGCCTGGTCCTGTGCGGGGACCCCCACGCAGGACTTGGGTCCGGGAACCCTCCAAGAGCTCTCCTTTCTGCAGATGCAGAGACGGCGTTCAGACAACCCTGACAGGAAGCGCTGTAAAAACAGCCCGAGGTAGCACTCACCTTGCCCTGCTTAACACAAAGGAGTCTTTGACCATGACCACGGGGCCCAGCTCAGGACATTCGGAGTCGTGGTACTGGCTACAGTCCTCACACCCTGCAACAGACACTGAGTGTCAGGGGGACAGGGAGCCGACAGGGGACACCTGGGGGACATCGCAGGCCCCCTGCCCGAGGGGGGCGACTTACAGCGCTCCGCCCCCCCCCCCCCCAATGTGAACACGGTGCAAACTCAGGATGTGGCCCCCAAGGAAAAGGCCTTGCTCTGTGGCACATTTCAAAGTGTGCGGTCACCTCTCTGGTGACAAAGAACAAGATCTACCAAGGAGTGAGAATAAGTGAAAATTCACCAACGTAACCTGGTTACTAGAAACCTCACGTGTCACGAATCCCTGGCTTCCTTTTCTGAATCAAGTGCCGCCCCCCCGCAAAGTGCCCTTGGCCCAAAGTTCTGAGAAAGATGATCCTTTTAAAACCACACACCCCTGCGGGGGTGTTTCCCACGCAATCAACTGTGTTCCGTAAAGCGAGCAAAGTCATGTCCACTCAAACAGCGGCAGCTTTTGTGTACTGTGGAAACGAAACGTGGACGTGGCTTTGTCCAGACGGCCCACTGCACCCACGGGCAGGCCACGGACTACTTACAGATGAACATGATCTCCTCACTCCCGTCTTCGGCCATTTCTGACACCTGTCGGGGAAACAAAGGCCAGGTTGTTAACGATGAGCTTTTTTGCCAAAGCAAGTTTTGAAGACCAACCCTGTCAAAGGTTCCTCGAACTTGTGCGTGGATGTTACGTTGGGCTCTAAAGGCACCAAGCAGCGAGATCCCCTCTACTGTAATGAGGCTGGGGGCTTTGAGAGGTTTCCTCCCCTAAAATAATGTTTTTTAATAAAAGCGATTGATTGTGATGGCCTCTAGATTAGGAAGTCTTTCTGAACTCGGACTTTTCATCTTTTTTATACTAGCCACTGGTTTCCATTTGTAAAGTACAAGGATCACCATTTTTAAGAGTTGGTTTCACACTGTCACCTCCATTTCTCCTTCCTCCTTCACTGGACTGTGAATTCCTCAAGGGCAGTCAAGTCTAGTACACCCTCTGTCTTCCTTCAGCCGCTAACGGGTGCCTGACAGCCAGGCACACCCACGAGCAACACACAGCACAGAGGACGAGAACATTCCAGACCTCCAGCAGACCAGTCACTTCTTCTGTCTTCTCTTGGGCGTGTGAGGTCAGGCAGCGGAGGCGAGGCCCCCCCACTTATTTGAGGGATGATCTGGACACGTTAATTGTAGGGCCCAGATCCTCTGACCTATAAAATGGAAATAAAAGCGTTCCCCACATTGAAAGACCTGCACTCTGGAAACCACAAACCATGGATGAGAGAAATTGGAGAGGTCATTTTCACCGAGCTAGAGCAAACAATCGTAAACTGTGTAGGGAACCACAACCCCCCCCCCCCCCCCCCCACCAAACAGCCAGAGCAACCTTGAAAAAGGAAAAGTAAGCTGCAGGTACCATAATCCCAGATTCCAAGACATACTACGGAGCTGTGGTGATCAGAACCGTATGGCGATGGCACCAAAGGAGACATGCACAGATCAACGGACCGGAAGGGAAGGCCCACAAATAAACCCACAATTATAGGGTCAACTAATCTTCAACAAAGCAGGAGAGAATATCCAATGGGAAAGAGACAGTCTCTTCAACAAAGGGTGCTGGGCAATCTGGACAGCAACATGCAAAAGAATGAAACTGGATGACCTTCCCACACCACACACAAAAATGAACTCAAAATGGATGAAAGGCCTAAACGTGAGACCTGAAGCCATAAACATCTAGAAAAGAGCACAGGCCGTAATGTCTCTGACACTGGCCACAGCAACACTTTTCCAGACGTGTCTCCCGAGGCAAGGGAAACAAAAGCAAAAAGAAACCCCTGGGACTACATCAAAATAAAAAGCTTCTAGAACAGCAAAGGAAACAGGCACCAAAACTAAAAGGCGACCTAGAGAACGGGAGAAGACATCCAGTAACAGGTTAGTGTCCAAAATATATAAAGAACTGACATAACTCAACACTCAAAAAACCAAATAATCCAGTTAAAAAATGCACAGAATATATAAACAGATGTCTCCAAAGAAGACGTCCAGATGGCCAACAGGCCCATAAAAAGATGCTCGAAATCACTCATCAGGGACATGCAAATCAAAACCACAGTGGGCTGTCGCCTCACACCTGTCAAAAGGGCTAAAGTAAAAAACGCAGGAAACAACAAGTGTTGGTGAGGATGTGGAGAAAAGGGAACCCTCGTGCACTGCTGGCGGGAACGCACACTGGTCTCCAGAACAGTCTGGAAGTGCCTCAAAAAATTAAAAATAGAATTACCATATGATCCAGTAATTCCACTACTGGGTATTTATCCAAAGAATATGAAAATGCTAACTTGAAGGAATACGCATCCCTATGTTAAGTGCGGGATTATTTATAATAATCAAGGCACAGAAGAAACCCAAATGTCCGTCGGCTGATGTGGTGTTTATATATACGTGCGTATGTATTTATATGCATATACGTACATACATACGTAGATATATACATACGCAATGGAACATTAGCCATAAAAAGAATGAAATCTTGCCATTTGCAATGACATGGGTGGACCTAGAGAGCATATATAACGCTAAGTGAAACAAGTCAGAGAAAAACAAATGCCGTTTGATTTCACTCGTACATGGAATTTACGAAACAAAACGAACAAAGAAAAAAAGACAAACCAAAGCACAGATTCCTAATGACAGAGGACAAACTGATGGTCAGCGGGGGGGCCGGGGGGGGGGTGGTGACAAACAGGATGGGGATTGAGGGTACGCTTAGACGCCTAGCACTGAGTAACGGATAGAACTGTGGAATCACTATACTCTACAGCTGAAACTAATACAACACTGTATGTTAACTATACTGGAATGGAAATAAATTTTTTTTTTCAATGTTTCAATCAGAGTTCAAGGAAAACATCTCTGTTTTAAAAACTGTTTATGGGGGAGGGGAAGGGGGGAGAAAGGGAGGGAGGCAAACCATAAGAGACTCTTAAAAACTGAGAATAAACTGAGGGTTGTTGGGGGGTGGGAGGGAGGGGAGGGTGGGTGATGGGCAGGGAGGAGGGCACCTGCTGGGATGAGCACTGGGTGTTGTATGGAAACCAATTTGACAATAAATTTCATATTTATTTTTTTTAAATAAATTTCACATTAAAAAAATGTTTATTTATTTATTTAGAGGGGGGCGGGCAGGGAAAGAGGGAGAGAGAGGATCCCAAGCAGGCTCTGCGCCATCAGCAGAGAGCCTGACGTGGGGCTCGGGCCCACGAACCGTGCGATCATGACCTGAGCCGACATCAGGAGTCGGATGCTCAAATGACTGAGCCAGCCAGATGCCCCTAAAATAAATGTGTTCTAAAAGAAAGGCACACCTCGTGCAGTTTTGGGGGAGCAAAAAGTACGATACCCCCAGCACGCACCACACACACAAATTCCTCTCCTCTCCCGCTTCCTCCAACCCCCATTAAGCCAACCCAGCACTCCCTTCCTGCGCCCCCACCTCTCGTGAGGGCCCCTCTGTGCTGCTAGGTTCCCTCTTGGGAAAGCGTGCCTCCCGAATGCCCATTTCACGTGGCCTCTGCCCCATTTCTATCCCCAGCGCATGAAGAATGAAAATGCAACATCCACATGGGAACTCACATTCACCAAACACACGTTTACTTGAGCTGAGAGAGGATTTCAAACTTCACTCTGGAAGAGTGAGTCAGCGACGAGGAAACAAGGCAGGGACATGGGATTTCCAACTTGCCTTTATTTATTTATTTTTTTTAATTTTTTTTTTTTTTAACATTTATTTATTTTTTGGGGACAGAGAGAGAGACAGAGCATGAACGGGGGAGGGGCGGAGAGAGAGGGAGACACACAATCGGAAACAGGCTCCAGGCTCCGAGCCATCAGCCCAGAGCCCGACGCGGGGCTCGAACTCACAGACCGCGAGATCGTGACCTGGCTGAAGCCGGACGCTTAACCGACTGCGCCACCCAGGCGCCCCTCCAACTTGCCTTTAAAGGGCCAAGGATCAATACCCAGGGCATTTATTCCAAATCTGTATTTTCTCCTCCTGGGAGCACCCATTTAAGGGAAAAAAAGGTGTCTCCCATGGCCCTGGCAAGTGTAACTCAGGGCTTCCTGGCTGACGGGTACCGTGGGTGTGGTCGGGGGCCGATCTGGAACGGGGGCGGCAGCTGGTCACCGAGCAGAAGGGGAAGAGGGACGAAGAGGCAGAAGAAACGCGTGGAAATCTGCCTTAACGAGTTCCTGGAGCGCCCCTAGGAGCCTCACAGCCCGTCTGCCTGCAGGCTCTGTCACAACCCGAGAAGGTCCCGCAAAGGCAAGGGTAGGCTCTGAAGAAGCTGCTCGAAGCTGCAGGATCGAGGCAGGCAGAACACGGGGTCCCCACAGAACGTGTCAGAATCGGGGCGCCCAGGCCAGGGTGCCTCCCTCGGGCTAGGTCCACCGAGCCCCGGGGGGCTGCCTGTCCCCTGGCGGCGCCTCCCTCTGTTCTGCTCCCCTCAAGGGAGGCGAAGCAGACTGTCTCCTGTCCAGAGTGTCCCCAAAGAAGCGGCCCCTCCGAGCACACCTGCTGGGAGAGAAACCCAGCCGACTCGGTTTTAGCAACGGCCGCAGGGAGAAAATGAGAGTGGGCAGGAAACAGCGGGAGGTTTTAGCTTTTTATTGCACTGGGTCTTCCTACACCCAAATGTTCGAGGCCCTGGAAAGAACATCGTTGATGAGTAGCATCTGATCCCTGAAACACAGCCTCTAAAATGGTTCCTTAAAGCCCAGAGAATAGGTCACGGCCACCCTGGACAGCAAGTCAGGCCTGAAGCAAGGGGGCCCCTTGCAGCCTGCGCTCTCTTCCCAAAACCCCCTTAGCGCTCGGAACGCTCCTTTGTACCTTGTCCCAGCCAAGCCCGGCCTCCGGACGTCCACGGCACGGGAGAAACCCCAGACCGAGGATCTGTAGATAGCGTTTCAGGGAAAATGACCAAAGACCCTAAGTGTGAGAGCTGGCCACTGTAACCACCAATCCTGGGAAAACGGACCTCACGTCACTGATTCTCCAAGTGTGGTCCCCTGGACCGGCAAACCGCAGCACTGGCAGCAGCTGGGAGTTTCTGAGAAACGCAAATCCTCGGGGCCCATCCCCAGACCTGCGGAAGCAGACCGTCGGGGACGGGTCCTCGCACGCCGTGCACACGAACCTCCAGGTTATTCTGACGCACCTCAAGTCTGAGCGCCTCAAATCTCTCTAGCACATACACGACCCCTACTGCATGAACCGACGGACCACGGCCGCGGTCACCGGGAGACCACAGTAATAACAGCAGGAAACCAAATTTATCACGAACGTCAGTTGGGCTCAGACCAGGATTACCTGCATGTAAGGGGGGGGAGGGCGGGGGGGGGGGTAGGTGATCTCGGACCAATGTTCTCTGTGGTAACTGGAGTTCACAGGCGGGCCCCAGTGATGCCGGCTGTTAAAAGCAGCCTTGAATGCAGAGAAAGAGGATCTCTTTTGCATTGTTGGTGGGAACGCAAGCTGGTGCAGCCGCTCTGGGAAACGGTACGGAGGTGCCTCAAAAAACTAAAAATAGAACCACCCTATGACCCAGCAATGGCACTACTAGGCATTTATCCCCAGGATACAGGTGTGCTGTTTCGAAGGGACACATGCACCCCATGTTTATAGCAGCACGATTGACAACAGCCGAAGTATGGAAAGAGCCCAAATGTCCACCGATGGATAAATGGATAAAGAAGATGTGGTATATATATATATATATATACGATGGCGTATTACTCGGCAATCAAAAAGAAGGAAATCTTGCCATTTGCAACTATGTGGATGGAACTGGAGGGTATTATGGTAAATGAAATTAGTCAAAAAAAAGACAAATATCATTGGACTTCACTCAATATGAGGACTTTAAGAGACAAAACAGATGAACACAGGGGAAGGGAAGCAAAAACAATATAAAAACAGGGAGGGGGACAAAGCAGAAGAGACTCTTAAATATGGAGAACAAACAGAGGGTTACTGGAGGGGGTGTGAGAGGGGGGATGGGCTAGATGGGGGAGGGGCATTAAGGAATCTACTCCACGGGGCGCCTGGGTGGCTCAGTCGGTTGAGTGTCCGACTTGGGCTCAGGTCATGATCTCGCGGTCCGTGAGTTCGAGTCCCGCGTCAGGCTCTGGGCTGACGGCTCGG